ACACACACACACACACACACACACACAATCTTGAAATATTTCCAGCAACTTTTAAACTTCAAGTTTCCCCAATCTATGTTTCTAGTACAAAGTACCAATATACATTCCCATGTGGTATTCCCCCTTATACTATCCCTAACCCCTATCTCTAAATCTCTTGGCCTTATCATTTTTTAAAATTTTAGCCAGCTTTCCCTTTTCCAGGTTTCCTGGTCTTTCTTCTTTTTTCCTTCTAATATAATTTTTATTTCCCTCTGCCCATCAGCCATGATTTCCCCCGCCCTTCTCTGTTCTCTTTTTTGGGGTGTTTCTTCTTGTATAATTCCTTCTTCTTCTGCTTAGTCTTGGTAATGTTTTCTCTTTTATCTGTTGCCTCTGTCATCAATATCTCTGTTTTAGGTCTTTTCATGTCTTTTGGCAGTGGCTCTTGTTCTCCATATTCATCTGGGCTGCTTTTTTTCTCTTAACTCCTCCTCTCTGGACTTTGTTCTTCTATGGGCTGCCACACCATTACTTTGCCAGCAACTTTTCCAATAGTATCATTCTTTCTTTTAACATTTCTCTCACAGTTTGCAGTTCCAACTAAAATTCTTTGCTTATTTCTTCCATTTCTTTAATCTGTTGAGTTGTTCTTTATTTTCAAATTTTTCTGTTATGGTCCTTGCCAAAAGTCTCCGTTTATCTCACTCTTTCTTTGTTCTATTTTTTTTGTTACAGTCAACATCAAACAGTCCCAAAATGTTACATTCATTTATACTTTGCTGGAGCCCCCTCTTTTTAAAAACTTCCAGGATTCTTGTTAATCTTTTATTCCATTTCTTTTCTCTTTCATATATTTATATGACCAGTAATTTTCCATAAGGACATAGAAGAGGAAATATCTTTAACAATTAGGTGGCGCTCTATATTGCTTCCACTTTTCAAAGTTCTTTTTTTAAAATTCTCTTTTCCGTAGTATTAACATTAAATTTTGACCATTCCAGATATGTCCAGCATTTTATCCAATGCCTAATTAGTGCCCAATTCTGTGTATTATTCCAGATTTAACCTCTGGTTTCATATAGTCCTTTTATTTCCAGTTTTTTATTTACTTTATATTTTCCTCTTATTTCCCATTCACCGCTACCACTCTTCCAAATGAGGGCTCTTTCTTTCTGCTTTTCGGAGTTGTCAAAAAGAGTGTTCAATGTTTTTATCCAGTTACACACTGCTCACTACTTCACCACTCCAGCACAAACTTAAGTCCTGGCAGCTTCCTGTCTTCAAGACAGCCATTAGACTGCCACTTCTCCCTGTCTTCTAGGGGAGTATACCAAGCCAGGGAAGGAAGATGCAGCTCTCCTCAACTCAGCTGGTAGTCTCCTCTTCTTCCCCCACCCTTACAAGGTGGATCAGATGTTTCCAGTCTGCCACGGATCCTTCCAACAGGGCAAGCACCGATCAAAGTCACACACAATCGCAGTCTCTGGTCCGTCTTCGACGGACAGGCCACCAGAAGTCCCAAATGCGATATTCTCTATTTTGTTATTTGAATTTCTAAATAACTGCACATAAATGGTACATATGCCCAAATTTGAAGAAAGATGTGCCATGTAAATATTTTATTGGCCTAGGAGTTCACTGAAGCATATTGCACAAATCATTTAGGGATTTATCCAAACATATTATATGATTTAAACTGGGGTGCTTCAATATTTGCATGTAACATGATATGCAAACACAGTAGGTAGGTAGATATTTAAGAGGTATAAATAATTAGGGCACTCTCCCTGAGCAGCTTCCCCCCTTAATTATTTTCCTATACCTTTTTATTCTCTCATGTTTTATCCTAAGTGATTAGTATGCTGGAAAAAAAAAGCATACGGTTTAACATAAAAGGATGTTACATATGGAATCCCACTTGACACACTGAATTGCCAAATATTTTCCAAGGTCTATTACATTTATTTTAATAGCATCTTGTAAATTCATATTGTCAAGAAGTAATTGGATTTTTCAGCATCATCATCAACACATATAATTGCAATATATGGACAAATGAATACTAGGAAATTTTCAAGTATTTACATCCTCAAAATAATCTCTATAGAATATTTGTCTGAATTATATAATGAATAGCCTACTGACGTTGCATTCATTAATAAACATTAATGACCAAAACTATCATCCATTTATGAACAAATGTTTTCATAGCTCATCCTTAGGCAACTGTCAGTTCAATGGAAAGAAGAAGAGACTGAGGTTTGGGAAAAGGAATTCATTTCTGAGTTCTGAAGCAACTTCAGTTTTACTCACTGCAATTTCTTTTGCCTTCCTTTGAACAACTTTAAAATAAGGTTATTTAAATATCCAAAAATATGGCCATTAGAAGAAATAAGACTGAGCAATCTTTGAATGATTATCCTACTTTACACTTTAGAAATGTGCTTTAAACATAAAAATCTAAGACAGCAAATATTACTAGATACTGGGCCTGAAATTACAACTCCTATCTCCTGTCTTTGATTTTCTTACATTTGCATCTATAAAACCACTTTGAAATCCATACACATAAGAATATAGATGGATTATTTGAGAACCTAGAGAGATAATGATGAGATTGTGAATGAGATGAAATGCTTATCAAAAAGAGTTCTGTAAACCTACAGACTATAGTATTAAACCTTTCCCCCCCTGAACCAGCTTTCTGAGACTGTTTAGTGGCATTGCTTGCTTACATGGCTTCTTATGTTTTAGCAAAGCAAAATCTCAGTACATGTTTTCAGTATAATTCATATTTTATTTACAAAGAGGAAAAACAATTTACCATAAAAACATATACTAATAGAACATTTTCTTGTAATAAAACTATTGTAGCATCTTAAATAATATAAACCTTTTTTTTCACATAAGCATTCACATTTTTGTGAAAGTAGATGTAAACCATATGATCTTATGTAAAATTAATTTCCAGGTACCACTTGCTTTTTTGTTGATTTTATATTTTATAAATTTTATTTTGATTTTATATTTTAATTGATTTTATATTTTATCTTTTCATAGTTAGAAGTTGTAGAGCAATAGTCACTACTACAGTGAAAAGAAACATTTGAGAGTACTTCCAGATACATGATTTATAGAACTATCAATCAAAATATATTTGCAGTTGGCTTGCTGTTCCTTCCTGCAGATTTTCTGAGTAAGAAAAAAATATAGTAGTAGTAGTAAATTATAATTCCTGAAGGAGGAGGGACAGCATAATGCATGGGTGTCAAACTCATGTTGTCACAGCAGTGTCATGTGATGCATTGGGACTTTTTTCTCCTTCACTAAACTGGGCGTGGCCAGCATCTGATGCCATGGGCCAGGAATTTGACAGCCCTGCCATAATGGCAGAGATAGGTTCTAGATTCTGGCAGTGTAGTCTCTGCAGTAAAAGAAGAGATCATGAATAGACTGCAGGAACTGAGATTTTTGTGCTGAGTTGAGCAGCTGAAAGTTGAAGGAGTTAAATCAAGTTTACAGTCATAATGCAGCCTATATGGATATAAGACTCATCTGAGCCCATTTCTTTTTTAAAAAATAAACTTTATTAATTTTACAATTAAAACAGACAAACAACACGTACATAAATGTGAAAAAGAAAAAAGAAACAGAAGAAGAAAAGAAAAGTAGAAAGAAAAATCAATTAAAAACACTTTCATCCTCCACAGTTTGTGGGACCTTATTTTCAACCTTATTTTATACCCGCTATACAATTGATCCTTGTGTGAATATATATATATATATATATATATATATTTGTTTTCTGAGGTTCTCGCGGGTATTTATATGTGGATCTTTGGTTGTTCGGGTTTTCTCCCGCGTAAGATTCGAAGTATCTAGGCAACGTTTCGATGAAGTCTCATTCATCATCTTCAGGCTTCTGTCTCCGGCTCTGTGCTTTTCAGAGTAATGTGAGATTGCAGCTGCTTCCTCCTTTTAACTGCCAGTGGGGGTGGGACTTGATTGGGTGGGGGCTTGGCTGTGTTCTGATTGGGTGGGGGTGTGTTCTCATTGGTAGGGGGTTTGGTTGTGTTCTGATTGGTTGGGGGGAACACGCCTCCAACACGCCTCCAACCAATCAGAACACGCCTCCAACCAATCAGAACACGGCTAACCCCCCAACCA